GGCAGTACAGTAACAGTACGGTAGCGGTATCTTGTGCGGGTATCGCACGCTTGTCTATCTGGGTATATCTGGGACATTCTAGATTTATCAACTTAATACATTTCTGATAAAACAGTGATTACATGAGGTAAAATTTATCTTTGGAGCAGCCAAAGCAGTCGATAATGACAACGCTCTACAATTACCTCCTGGTCCTCCGGGCCCTTTTTATACCACCGAAAATTTACCTAAGGTTGTCGGTCTTTAATAGTATCTCGTCGGTGGTAATGCGAAAGTACAGCGTATGATTGCCTAACCTGAAAATAGTCGTTATAACATTAAAATAAAATATACGTAACAATATAATTAGACAGTAACTGACTGGATGTTTAGTTGAACTGCATAAATTTCTATCAGGACCATATATTGAACAGCTATATCATAGCTATACATTCACGAGTATACAGGTGTTCGTGGATCATCGAAGTGCGGTTTTCTTTCAGAAGTCAAGCATAGTAAATGGCGGTATGCAATCGGATGGGTGACCGCTTCGAAGTACTATGAAATTAGTTCCCGAATTCAGGGAAAATCTTTTTTTTTTTCATCATAATTTTGTGATGTGTACTCTAGAATAAGATATTAATCAATAATAATACTCATTTTAGCAATAAAACTATAAAATTAATTAATTTTAGTAACATGCGTACATTATCGGGACGGCGTACTAAAAGCATGGTGTACCGGTACTGTACTCTTTAGGCATCGTCTACAATACACGGAGTAAGAAGTAAGAGTAAGAAATTGACCAATCACAGTCGATTATTCTTCTCACATTCGACTGTGATTGGTCAATTTCTTACTCTTACTTCTTACTCCGTGTATTGTAGACGACGCCTAGGTACGCACGTACCTGACGGGTACGGTATCAGTACGCATAGTACGCCGTACGCTCACCGTACTAATATCGTGGAGGTATTTTACTATCTGGGATATCATATTAAATGTTAAATTATACTTTTTTAAAAAATATATTCGTATATATCATATAGCCTACTAAATATAGAATTATTTGTAAAACAATAATAAATAATAACATTAATTAAACAGATTATACACAAAAGAAATAAAATTAATTGTTTACAAAATTAATTGTTGAATTATTTAATTTCACTAAATTATTTATTATTCATTCTCACATGTTCCATCTGCCAGTTAATAAGTAAATTATGTAGTTAATATATTACATTTTAAAAATACAAAATCGCATGCATTAAATGCAAATTGAATATGTGGGATAAGAAAATATAAATTTCCGATTTATATCCAATTTCTAAAAAAGTATAGCACTTAAAAGTCCTTTTGGAGATTCTAAAATCCTCCTTTGATTCTCAATATGAAGAAAACGGAAATAAGTAACCATTCATAGAGAGCATCAAAGGAAGACAATAGCCAATTATGTTATAATATCATCTCGAGAACCTACGTTGATTTTCTAAATTTGATGGAACTTGTAAATGTAATGTAGAACTAAAATTTCGACATATATTTGATATTTGGTGAAAGCAAGAAAAATTTTAGTACAGTCTAGTGCAGGAATAAAAAAAACAGACATAAAAGACTTAAACACATTTTATTTCCAATTAGAGTAATTATCCTGAAATGGATCATAAACAATATAAATTTTTCATGCATGTACATATATAAATATATCTGACCATACATAACATGTATAAATATATAATTATACATGAAATATATCTATACATGGTCATACATGCTTCTTTCTTTCGTAAAATTACTATTTAGTGTAAGAAAAATAATAATAATAATAATAAGAAAAAAAATAATTAAAAGGATAATTTTCGTATTGTTTTTTTAGAAGAAAAACAAGTTTGAAAAAATATAAAAAAATTGCTTATATATAATTATATATTTTTTATTTATAATTATATGTTACTGTTTATAATTATATATTATGAACAATTTTTTTACATTTTTCGAAACTTGATTTTTTCTAAAATAAATAATATGAAAATTATCCTTTTAATTATTTTTTATATTTTTTATATTATTATTATTATTTTTCTCTTACTCTACAAACAGTAATTTTTTTTACAAAAGAAAGAAGAATGTATGGCCATGTATAGACACATTTCACATATAATTATATATATTTATGTATGTTTAGATATATTTATATATATTTATGCATGAACAAATTTTTACCAAGCGATTAAAGTAAAACGTTATGTACAATCAGATGCATAAAATAAGTAAGTTCCGTATTCTATGTAATTGAAAATTGTATACATATATATGGTATTTACAATAAATATAATAATAATAACAAAGATGGAATTGTGCACGCGAAGTAAATTCAAAGTACAAATCTCACAAAAAATTCTATTGTTCCATCTCAATCCTACAAGAAATCTGATATTATTATTTCACAGAAAATAAAATAAGATTATAAATAAACACATAAAATATACACTTTATGCTGATTGCGTTATTCATTTCCAAACTCGAAGACCAATGATTAGCGTATTTGTCCTGGCTGAGGATCACACTATGAATGTAATTCTGATAAATCGCATCGAAATGTATGAAACTCATATTTAAAGAAACAATATTTTCTTCCTGATCATTTCGTAATACATTACTCGTCGTTGTATCGACGTATGTATGAGTGAGTAAGCTCTACAATCATTTCAAGTTTTTTCTGCAATGAGCTGCAATTAGGACTATCCACTGTCTACGGGAACTTGCGTATCGATAATGTTGACTTGCTGTCACCGCTTCCCTATGTAATAACTTAACCGTAAGAGAATAAAGCTCGATATTAAAAACCAACTGGCAGGAATAGACGCTAGTATGCAGTATTTTTCATCTGAAACATAAAAAAAAATACATTAAATGTAAGATTTGTGCGATATAAAACCAGGGAGCGTAATAGAAGTAATATTTGAAAAAACTGCTGATTTCTTTTGTTATTTTTAGCGAATATCATGTCCGGATGACTTTAATGTCTCAAATCTTTTATAGGACAAAGAAAGCCTTTTTTTAATTCGTTAGACATCAGGAGTTCTGCTTTTATATCGCATGTTTTTAAAATTTCTTATGCGATTATTTAAAAATTGTCTTGAATTTAATGCTGTGTTTTAATACACACACATTTATGTCAAAGGCTGTTATTGAAAATCGGTACATAAAGTTTCAAAAAAAAATTTAAATAACTGCTTTTTAAATTTGAACAGCAGAAAATTATTAAATAATTTATATATTATTATACACAATATATAGATGTATATATACATTTACCTATAATATATAGATACTTATATATTGCATATTCAATATATCTCGACCTTTTTTGCCAATCACTTTTGTGTAGATAGAGCGATTGAGTCGAAGAGAACTAAACTGAGTCGAAAAGTCCTCTACTATTTTGCAATTTTCGCAATAGTTAACAAGATATTAACTACTAAAAATTGCAAAATATTGGTCTTGAATAATTTTTTACTCAAATACTATCAATTTTACAGAAAAACTGCAACAGACAAAAATTATTTATTTTCTTCTCATAAAGTTCTGAGAATTTTTTCAGAATTTTTTAATATTGTATTTTCTCATGTTGATAATGATTGAAGAAAATGCAGTACTAAAAAGATAATAAAAAATTCTGAAAAAATTCTCAAAATTTTATGAGAAGAAAATAAATAATTTTTGTCTGTTGCAGTTTTTCTGTAAAATTGATATTATTTAAGTAAAAAATTATTCAAGACCAATATTTTGCAATTTTTAGTAATTAATATCTTGTTAACTATTGCGAAAATTGCAAAATGATAGAGGACTTTTCGACTCAGTTTAATTCGCTCTATCTACACAAAAGTGATTGGCAAAAAAGGTCGGGACACCCTGTACATATATACAGGGTGTTAGTTTAATGTTCCCAAACTCAACAGAGCGATTCTTTGGTTTATTTCAAGTAAAAAAGTCCATATAAACATGTGTCCTAAACGGCTTAGTTTCCGAAATAAAAAAATTTAAACGTGTAATAATCTGTTTATTTGAAAGAAATACAACTTGAACTAGTCAAAAACTAGTCAAAAACAGAAAAACGAAGACAGGCTTCAGTTCTTCTGACGAAATAAAACAATTAGATGAATTGTTGAAAATGTCCACCTTACACTATGATACATCTATCGAGCCTTCTTTTCAAAGATTGACGTACACGCTCAAAGATACCAGGTGTGTTACGTATTGCCTCGCATGAAGCAACTATTCGATTCCTCAAATCATTCTCATTCTTATTTGGGGTGGTATAAACCAATGATTTCAGATGCCCTCAAAGGAAATAATCCAAAGGATTTAAGTCTGGGAATCTAGGAGGCCAAGGTTGAGTTCCTGCTCGACCTATCCTGTATTTCGGAAACTAAGTCGTTTAGGACACATGTTTATATGGACTTTTTTACTTGAAAT